CCGTCCCAATTTTTTTTCTGGTGTGTGGGGGGGGGGGGGGGGGGGGGGGTCAATTTCAACCACCTCTTAACTAGCAAATCGAACTTGAAGTTTCGAAAAAAGCTGACGGCTTGGACCTCCGTTTCCAATGGTAGAATCTCAAAATTGATGGAGGGCTTTTGTTTCCCATAATCCTCTAAGCATTTTGCTAGCAACAACACATCATATGGTCGTCGAAAACGGCGAGCACATTCTCACCCATGGCGGCGATTTATGCAGCTCCGACGATGGTGTTCTGGTGAGAATCGACAAGTGCTCTTGGATGGGTTTTGTTCTTCTCGTTGTTCTAAGTCTATAGGGACTGAAATCACCTCGAATGGAGGTCGAACGATGATTTGAAACTCGGTTATTTTTCATACTTTTGCTGGCGATTACAGTGATTTTTGGCCAAGGTGGAGGTCCACATCACGTCAACAAACTCAGCTCTTCAAGATCTTTTTGATGATATATGCAGTGCCAAAAATCGATGCCGGAAACTCCGTCGGGGGTGGTGACCAGAGACGGAGAAGAATAGGCTTTTTTTTAGATTTTTTTTCTTTTTTAAGTTAAATCAAGTGTTATAATCTCTATTTTATTTCTATTCAATCAATTATTTTGAGCTGTTCATTTATTATCTAGGGATGTGAAAGATTAAGTCTACCGGTAAGGTCAATTGGCTCACCCTACCATAGACTTTCTCCTGAAAATAAAATGACAGTAAATTGTAAGCAACTACGATATTAGTGGAAAACTGCAAGCGACAATAACTGCAAAACGACAAACAACAGTATGTATGAATAAACGAAAATAAATTCTTGATAATAATATTTACTATCTAGAAAAACGACAGTAACGAGAATGACTTGTTGGGAAAAATAGAAAGGGTTTTCATTTTTATGTCTTCTTTTTATAAAATTTGTCTAATCCTCTTTGTGCTTTGGATTGTCACATCTATATTCTTTCGATTTTGATTTTATGCGTAATTTCTTATGAATAAATGGAGAATTTATTTTTGAGAGCGTATGAGTCAGGACTTTTACCCCGTACTCTTGATAAATACTCTTTTATTAGTGTAATTATTTGACTAAAAAAATTATGAATCAAGAGTAAAAAGTAAAAATTCTGACCCATGCATTTTCAATATGTATTTGTCAAGATTATTCTTATTCTTCCTTTTAATAAGAGCAAAACATAAAATAAAATAAAATAAAAGAAAGAATTAGCAAAATTCAAAATATAAAGGACATTTAAGTATTTTACCGTTACAATCGACCTACTCGGATTTAATATAAATTTGAGGTGCGGAGACAGTTTATAAGGAATAATTTTTTTTAAAACCTTAAAATATATAATAATTATTATTGGTGTCTACTGAACGTTGAGGTCATTCTTAGTTTGCTTCCTAAACTTTAAAAATTCTTACTTTACCCCTTCAATCTTGGATTAGTCCAATTTAATTCCTTTTGTAAGAATTTCTATTAAAATCATATGAAAAAAGAGGTTAAGCGTGATCATGTAGTTTTTATCCGTTTTCTTTTAATATATATTCAAACAGAAAAATCATGCAATTGCACTACTCTTTTTTTTTTGTCTGTTTTTAACAGAAATTCTAACAAAAGAGATTAAGTGGGTACGATTCAAAATTTAGAGGTTAAAGTGAGAGTTTTTAATAGGAAAATAGTAGAAAATATGTCAATATGAAATGCTTAAGAAAGTATATATGCTAATTTTTAGTTATAGAAATTAATAGGCCATAACTTGTCAAGTTATGATTTATAACCAGATAAATTATGGACAAACTTATCAAGTTATGGTTCATAGTCAGACAAATTACGGATAATTATGGACAATAACTTGTCAAGTTATGGTTTATAACTAGACAAGTTATGGACGAAAACAGTAATTTGACTTATTTATTAACTTATATAAACTATTGACCTATTAATTTTAATTCATCTCAAGTCTTAACTTATTTCTCTCTTTCTTCCTTTTTAATATTTGGGAGTTTGAAATGAATCTAAAATACACGAGTAATAATAATCCTGAAATATATGGGAAAGTTTATGGTAGGGAGTTCGTATTTTTATCCTACCGGTAGGATGAATCGTAGTGGACGTTTGTTTAAAGATCAGTAATAAAAAATGATATTCTCCATACAAACACCAATAGAGAGTACCACACTTGATTAACAAAACAAGAGGTTCCAAAAAAATAACAAAACAAAAAGAAAAAAAAAACTCATTATTCTTCCACACAAACTTCACTGCCATCGCCCACTACAAAGTGTCCCTCCCCTGATGAAAGTCCCTCATCCAACGCCAAATCAGACTACACCACACTCACCTTAGTGCCGCCGTCCCCCCCGTCGCCGACCACATAGCGTTTTCTCCCCTAATAAACCTGTCATCCAACGCCGAATCGCCAGCGTCTCTTTCTTCCTCAGCACTGACGACCTCTGCGAAGAACACCCCAAGCAAATCTCATCTGCACTTCATCGATCTACTCCCACTCTCTATCTCTCTCTCTCTTGCTGTCTCTTCATGATGAACGTCGGCAATGCTCCCTCGAGAACGCCGTCGATGAAATACCAGGTTCGCGGCCTCCGGATGAGGAGATTTCGGTCTCCATTTTCTCTTCCCGTCGATCTACCCTCTCACTCTCTCAGATCGGGCAACCGTCGGCAGGCTCCCTCTTGAACTCCGTCGACGAAGCTCTGGTCTCGCGCGAGCTATGTCTGCCTCTTTGAACCCAACCTCCCCTCTCCAAGGCGGCGCGAATCCCACCGGCTACGGCTTCTCATCCGCGACGGTGGTGAGTGAGGTGGAGGCTAGCTGGCGGCGTGGTCTGTTAGTTCTTTGATGTTTGTTGATCAAATGTTGAAATAATCAAGTGTGTGAGGTTTTATTTTAGTTTAGTATTCATCCATCATTTTACTGCCAGATCTTGATCTGGTGGTTTGGATTTGGACCTACCAGTAGGAGGAAAGCACAACCCCTACCGTAGAATCTCCCAAAATATATAGGTTATAAGACAAACGACATGAGGAGATAACTAGAAAAAACAATAAACGACATCAATTTTTAAAACTATACAAAAATGACACCATTGAAAAGGATGAGCATTGTAGCGACCATCTGCATGTTTTTTGAGTAAAACTCAAAAAAAAAAAAAAAAAAAACTTATAATTTTTTTTAAGTTTACGTTCATTTAAAAAATTTGAGTTTAAATTTAAGTTTTTACTTGAATTTATGATTAACATTTGAGTTTAAATTTCTCTTTTAACTCAAATTAATGAACAATATTTTTTCTATTCTTAAAAACGTCATATCTTTTTCGTTTTAATTTTGATTGAGATGATTTTTTTTCTGTGCGTTCACAACGAAGAGACAAATAAAATTATACCTATATATCATATTAAAATTTTACATCACCATTAAATTTTTATTAAAATATTATTTAAATACAAATTCAAGTTTTGACCCACTAAAACACAAACTCAAATAGATTTTCAATTCAAATCATACCTCAAGTGTGCACATCTAAACACAAACTCAAGTTACAACTTCAACTCAAATTATAACTCAAATTCAACTCAAGATATTAGTTGTTCTTTTACAACGAAACTCAAAAAAAGATTTGAACTCGAGTTACAATTTTATTCAAATTCATGTTCTTTTGTAAAATTTGAGTTTGAACTCGAGTTTAAACTTGAATTTGGAGTTAAACTCGAGTTCATAAACTCAAACTCAAGTTAATGAATAATATTTTTTCTATTCTTAAAAATATTTTTTCTTTTTAATTTTACTTGAGATGATTTTTTTTCTATACATTCACAACGAAAAGACGAATAAAACTCCATTTATATATCTTATTAAAATTTTTCATCATTACTAAATTTTTATTAAGAATCCGTTTAGTTAAAAGATTCGTTCTCTGATTTAAAACATGGTTCATGATTCGCTACAATATTTTCTCTCATAAAAAAATACACGTAAATCAAAAATAATTCTAATCTCATGATTCTAATCCATGAACCAAACGGACTCTAATAGGCTCGTTTAGTTCACTGATTCGAGTTTTTAATTTGAGTTGAGATGTGACTTTATGTGAGAGCTTTTTATTATAGTAAAAAAGTTAGATGTAATTGTTTGTGAGAGCTTTTTACTGTAAAAAAACTCAAATTCTAAACTCGAATCAGCGAAATAAACAGAACCCAACAACCCCACGCTCAAATTAAAATCATTACTTAAGTCACTTTAATTCAAAAATACATAAGAACAACCCCAATTGACCGAGTCATCGTAACTTAACCCGGTTCATTTCATTGATTTGAGTTTAGAATAACAATCACATCTAATTTTTTTACTACAGTAAAAAACTTTCACATAAAATTATATCTCAATTTAAATTAAAAATTTGAATCAACGAACTAAACGAGCCCAAATATAAGGAACAAACACAATCTTTTTCGGAAATATTTCTCTCTTTTTCCCTTTCATTCTCGGCAACCAAACAAGGGGGCAAAATCGAGAATCACTCCGATCAAACTCCACGCTGAGTTCTCCTTCGGAACTTGGGAATCGTCTTTGTACATGCGTTCTGCTAGTTTCAGTTTCAAGTAGAACGGAGAAGGACAACTAATCGCCGGCTGTCAGTCTCCGAACAAAAATGTCCGGCGAGAATGTTCCTCCTCTCATCGCCGCTCAGCTCAATTACCTCCTCACCCATTTCCCAAGCACCGTCAAGGTACAAGCCCTATCTTTTCGCTGTGTCTTTGTCTGAAAGATTAAGCTAGGGAAAATCTTGCCTTCCTATCTTTTCCCATTTCTTAAAATTTCTCGGAAACCAGTTTCTTAATCGATTATTCCTTCATTTTGAATCTATTTTACGCTTTTCAGATTGAGCAGATGTGGTCTGGTAGCAAACACTACCCCGGAATTCTTGATCGGTTCACTTTAGCCATTCCCTATTGCCTAGACTTTCTGAAATGTGAGTGAAATGTGGTTCCTTTTTCACTATTTTCTCATTGATTTGTTTCTAAATTGTCTACAAGAAGTTCGATATCTATTAGGGGATGTTATATACGATTCCGAGTCTCCGTTTTCTGCTCCGGATGTTATTTTCGGAGCCGAAGATGAAACCTTCGATTCATTTCTTCTTACCGGCGGTGAAGGAGGGTACCTGAAGTCTCCAAAGAACTGTTTGAGCGATTGGAATAGCAAAGACCCTACGCGGTTAATGCTTCTCGTTCAACAACTCAGGTTATGATTTGTTTTGGTTCTTTAATTTTTGGAATTTTCTTGATGAATGTATTTTGTAGCTCATGGTTGTGAATTTGATTTGCTTTCATTTTGTATGGTAGGGATCAATACATGTCCTACCAGAGGAGGCGTGTTGGGGAAGTCGACGACGATCGATTGATATTCGAAATTAGCACAATTTTATCTAGAGAGGTAATGCTTAAGCATAGCTCTTAAGTTTCTTGTGCACGATGATAAGTTAGGGTTCTAATTGTACAAAGCTGTGAGTTGTGACATGTTGTCCCACCATTAATGATGTCTGTCAAAATTATTTTGGGGCAGTTTGGTGCTGTTGTTTAAGTTTCTAACAGCACTTTGCACTTGAACCAATTTAAGTAATGTGATTGATAAAAATACACAGAATTACTTTGCACATTCACCAACGTATGTATATAAATTCCGAAGAAAATGGAGTCCCAATGTCCCTTATACTCAATTTGACATGATGGATAACAAATTGTGATGCTCACTAGCCGACCTCTATGCTTATTATCTGATATACATTGTTTTGGTAATCATGCGTGAACTTGAAAATTGGGCCCCCCTTACTAGAAAGGGACAACCAAGCTGTTTCAGCCTTTTCGATTAGTAGTCGGGGCTCGCTCAAAATATGTTCCTTATCTGATAACAAAGCAAATTGGTCGAGCCCTTTAAGATCATTTAGGTCATTGTTTTGATTATTGTTTACTGTCTCAGGGAATTGAAATGCATTTGATTTCTGGTAATGAAAAGGTAACTTTCAGAACCAATATGTGCGTTTTCCTAATTGACTTCAGGAGCTTGGTATTGGTGACTAACTTTTTCTTTTGGCTTTTGATTATATGTGTGGTTCCTATGCCTTTGTATTTAGCGTAGCCGGAGGAGGTCAAATTTGCAGTACCTCTAATGGACATGGACATAAATAAGAAGATTCCTGTGTGCCCATGGAGACATCCGCAGAAGATTTTCTTGCAGGTCACAATTTTCTCCACACCTCACCCTCCTTCCTGTTTCTTCTTTTTCTTCTTCTTCCCCGCTTTTTCCCATATCATAAATGACAGTATGTTGCAGGTTATATATCCTGTTGGAAAAAAATATGCTTCTACTCTTTCAGCTCCTCGGCTGAAATTAATTTCCTCTTCAGAGTTGAAGGCACTTTTTTCCATAGAAGATGTCAAGCTTCCTTCATGGGTTGATGGAATGTAGGTCAATCCTATGCTAAAGTTGTCTTAATATTTTTTTGTTCTTTTCAATCTTTGACATCTGACTTCTATTGGTTTTTCTTTCTTAAATTGTTTTCTTTCAAAGGTGCATGGCAGAATATCTTCCCCATCTGGAAGAATCTCTCGAGAAACAGGTCAGCCTCAAGTGTTCTATTTGATGTTTTTTGTTATTTCTTCAAACGTACGAATCCACAATATCATCAAATTTTCATTTGGTTTTCTTTTTAAGGTATTGGAAGCAATTAGCTTAGTCGATGTTAGAAGGCGCTTTATTGAGGCATTGGCCCCTTTGTTTGGAAGACCATTAGAAGCTGATCCAGTAAGCATCCAACATCCATGTATAAATTTGTACAGTTTTGATGTCAAGTGATCAAGTCTAACCAGCGTTCTATTGTTTGTTGGCAGGTCTTCTGCAGAAGGGCAACGGTTCTTGCTGCCACTGGAGTATTCACATTCATGGTATTGTTTGAAAAGTCACTCATGAATTCTAATGAGCCAAACCATGTACCTGAGATTGACTAATGGTTTATATTTCATAGCATTTCTTATACAAATGTAGGTTTACTGAGTGATTACCTGAATGCATCAGGAATTGCAGTGAGATATACAGCTTATGGCTTCTTTGCATTTGCATTGGTAGCCATGAATTGGTCAATTGACCATTTCATAAAGGTTTTGGAAGCGATGAATTGGTCAATTGACCCTTCCATGAATAAGCAGCTCTGTCTCATTGCATGATGAAGCTTCTTTGCTTCTCTAGCTATTACTGTGAATGTGCTATTATCTTTACATTATATTTCACTGTATTTGCTGCATCTTTCTACTCTTTAACTGCAGTCTACCACATTGTTTTTTGGTACTTATTTTTTGTTATAGGTTCACTTCTTTATTCCAATTCAGTTTCCTAGGCAGCAGCCGGCTCTGATGCTTCAAAGTTCCCAGGTAACAATGTTTCTTTCTCAATCTTGAAATGTTTGCACAGATCACAGATACTAACTTTTTACTGTACCAGTATCACTTACTACAGTGTGATCGTGTATCTGCAAGTTTATCTATACATCTTAAATAAAATTCTTCACGCACGAAGCTTAAATTCTTTAGTAATTTGAAGTATCGTCCAGTTAGGTCGCGATTATTTCTTTTTCCAGGTTGTCAGTTAAGCTCTCCTAGTTTACGGCAGCTATATAGTTACTCTGCTTTTAACTAATGGGGATCTAATTATGACTTTTGTTTATTCAAAATCAAGTATTTTATTCTCCATAGTTCACAATGCAAAAGTCTAATTAATAATTAGTATAGCTAATTGCTTCAACTAGTGTTAATGTTGAAATTATTGCATTTTAACAACTCTTTTTCGAAAATTAAAAAAAAAAAAAATCTCTTCAACCAAAAAAACAAACAACATGATTACACTTGTGTCTGTCACTTGTGAACAAACGAATGATCATTTATACTGATGTCTTGAAAATTGTATCTTCTTTTCCTGTTGTTCATCATTTAGAGTCAAACTTAATTTATATCTGTCGTCCTTTAGTAATAAGTGAGACGTCATATCTTTAGTCACTTCAGTATTTGAAATTGAGAAATTCATACACAACTTGGACTGGTATTCATAGAATTTGTTAATGTTTAAGGAAGAAGTAATTTCCAACCAAAGATTTAGAGACATTTCTCGGGTGCTAATTAAAATGACAGTCTTCAATTCATGTTTGTGATTACTCAGGTATCTGCTTTTATGGTCAAGAATGAAAAAAAAAAGTGCTTGGGCGTTAGTTATCCACTTAACAATTATATCACTGTGTTGTAACATTACACCTTGCCTGTGGTACGCCAAGAATATTTTTTTCAACAGAAAAAGTAAAAAGAATTACCTTATTGGCAAGCTTAGAGGCTCACTTGGTCATCAGAAGAGGTTGAGAAGTCATTAAATAGCTGGTGTAATTGTAGTAATATCTTTTTTCTTATTGTTATTATTATTATTATTATTATTTTCTTAACAATAGAACAGGTCATGGTTGGTTGCGTTTTATTTTTATTTTTGTTTTTTATTTTACTAACAACAAGGTTATATTCATGTAATGATGTAGCATTTCAACTCCCAAGGGGCACTGATTAAGTCCAATCATCTGACCGAATATCCTTGGAGTCCCAGATGGGAACTGTCACAAATGGCCGAGCGGATTTTGTGAGTTCAAATTCAACACTTTTTTTAGCACTAGCTTAGCTTTCCTTCAATGAAACCTTGCTCTGATATAATCCGTCTTTTGGTTAGTGAATTTTTGGCGGATGAGGCTCTGAACTTCAAGAGATACTGCAATGAGGCCCAACTCCAACACAAATGTTGTGTCCTTCGCGCCCCAGCTGTGTAAAGATCTGCACCATGGAAACTCTTCCGTTTGGTTCTTGGATAGAATCATGGATCAAAATGGTCGTCTTTTTGCATTGGTTCTGGTTCTTTGATATGCTAGTTTTAGATTCTGGATTGCCTGGTCAGTCCCCGTAGTTAAAGAAATTAGATGAAAGCGCAGCAATAGAGTCCAGAGCAGCATATATACTGTTCAGATGAACAATTTGTTTTCAAGAATTCTTTCATTGTCTCCGGTAGTGGCAAGAAAAGGAAAAGTGGTTGTTAATATTTATGCAAACAAAGTAACAAGCTACTGTTATTTAAGACCCAAGTTCAAAATGGGTTTATTTCCCCCGTCTCTATTTCTAGACCATGATAAGGTCCAAGGGACTGTTTGCATTTGACAACAAAGTAGATAAAATGATGGAAAATATAAAACGCAATCTAGTGCATTAAATACCCCTAGTCAATTTCTATCTTTGGTAACGCTAGTAATAACTTTCACTACAAACTGATTATAAGTTGCTTAGATGTGGATTCAGCATTGGATTCTGAAATCCTAGACGCATTTCATTGGTTCACCTCCTGGGCAATGGATCCACAACAGCGAAGAATCCACATGCATGTATATTCGATAAAAAAAACATTCCTTGGAAAAACTATGAAAAAGACGAAAAAAAAAAAAAAAAAAAGGAATAATTAACAGCATGGCAATCCACGTGCTTTTCAGACAGGGAATCAATCCAAGATTATCCCAGCCGGTATTTATTGTGTATCTGGAAAGTAAAATCCAAACGGCGACGTTTGATATGAGACGGTTTCCCCGTATAAAGGGGTAAGAAAACTGACGTGCCGAAACAAATGCAAAGAACGGTGAGTGGGTGTGGGCCATACCCCCTTAACGTGGGGCACCCCTGTAGAGAGAGAGAGAGAGCGGTTTGTTGCCTAGTTGGCTTTGGTGTCCCCACTAAGTCTCACACCCCAACTCACCAATAATTAACACCGCTTCTTCTCCTTCTACTTACCACCAAAATAAAATAAAAACAAATAATTAGAAAGTAAAAATTAGAAAACGCTTTAAAAATATCCCGCTCTCTGTTATTTACCTTACTAGCCTCCGAATCTCCCTCCCTCCCCCATACCTCATATATCTATCTATCTATCTCCTCTCCGTTTTCATCATTCGCTTTTCCATCTTCTCTGGGTTTAGATCAATTCTCCTCTGCGAGAATGAGAGAAATCTTGCATATCCAAGGAGGCCAATGCGGGAACCAAATCGGTTCCAAGTTCTGGGAAGTGATCTGCGACGAGCACGGCGTGGATCCTACTGGCAGGTACCAAGGCGACGGCTCGTCGGATCTTCAGTTGGAGAGGATCAACGTCTATTACAATGAGGCGTCGGGAGGGAGATACGTCCCTAGGGCGGTTCTGATGGATCTGGAGCCAGGAACCATGGAAAGCATCAGATCTGGGCCGTACGGCCAGATCTTCCGCCCTGACAACTTCGTCTTCGGCCAGTCCGGCGCCGGCAACAATTGGGCCAAAGGTCACTACACCGAAGGAGCCGAGTTGATCGACTCAGTTCTCGATGTTGTCCGCAAAGAGGCCGAGAATTGTGACTGCTTGCAAGGTAATTCTCTCAATTTTACTCTCTTCCGTCCTACATTGACTTTTCTTTTTATCCTTAGGATTGAAACTTTAGCGTTGGATTAACTGCTTGTAATGCATTCAATATTGTCATATTGATATGTGCGAGAAGATATGTTGTCATTTCTGAGTTTGGGGGAACTAGAATGGACGCTTTGTTTTTTAGATTATTTTTTACATGAAGTTATCATGATACATAAATTCTGATAGAGAAACCGATACAATGTATAATATATCTTGGCAAAAACGAAAATGGGTTAGAAAAGAAATCTGACGCCATAACATGTAACTTTTTTGCTTCTTCTTCTTTTTCTTTTTCTATTTTTCTCCCTTTTTATTTTCTAACAGTCCGTTAATTTTATTGATTTGAGTTTAGAATTTAAATTTTACTATAATAAAAAATTCTAAAAAATAATCACATTTAATTTTTTTATTACAATTAAAATTCTTGCATAACATTACATCTCAATTCAAAATAAAAACTCCAATTAACAAATTGAACAGACTGTTTTCTCTCCAACATGCAGTTTTATTTATTTATTTTACTTTTGTTTCTTTTTCCAAGAGTGGTTGATTGAGCTTCGAAGGTGTTATTCTGTTCGCTTGGCTTATTTTATGCCGTCACATCCATGACCACCAATTATTGGAATGGAACATTGTGAATCTCAAGGTCTTGTTCTGTTTGTTTGAGAATTATCTTTTAATTTAACATTATAATTTTTAATTTGTTATAATATTTTTTTTATAAAAAATTTAAATTTTAAAAATAAAAATTATGAATGATAATTCTGAAGTTACAAACGAAACGTCACCTTAGTTCCTCGGTCTTTACGCTCTTGCAGAGCAGTAAAAAATCTGATATGTTTTTTCACGTTCGTACTGTTGGATCTAACACTCTAATGTCTGATTAGATCGTACGTATATTGTGCGTCTACCATTACGTCTGTATATTTTTCTCATTGTCCTTAAGTGAATATTTTTTCTCACGGATTCTAAATTTCACAAATACTAGTAGTAGCGTCATTATCAAAAAAATTAAAAATAAAAATACTAGTAGTAGTGTTGAATCAGTGTAATGGTGAGATCTTTCACTTTATCACGTGATAGACATTGCCGACACGTTTAATGGTGAGATCTTTCACTTTATCACGTGATAGACATTGCCGACACGTTTGGTGTTCTATCATTCAATATTATAATAATCCGAAAAGATAGTAATATTTCGAGCTATCTTATAATTAGTTGTAATAAAATCATTAATACAGATGGAATATGATAAATTTCTGAAACCAAATGGCTTCATGCTGTCATTTGATAGACAGGAAAATGAGTCGTAGTGAGAAGACAGAATTGCTACAAAAGTCCTTTATTGGCAATTGGCATGTTGCTATATATATTTCTTATTTTATTGTTTCTATATTGTGGTTAGTGGTTGTGCTTAATTGGATAATATATGTACGACTTGTGATAATATATCTGAGTGATAAGGCTGAGTTGGTGGGAGGGCCCATATTTTGTCTGGCGTGGAGATAGTCAAGGACAGGGTCTTAATTTTTTCCTTGATAGGATTTGTAATTTATATTTTAGTAGATCTACAAATATCTGATTCCCATCTAATTTTGTCATGATTCTGATTGCCCAAAAATCTCGGACACACACCTACACCGACATACCCATTACTCTTTTGCAATTTGACCAAAGCAGTAAATCTTATGACCGGTACAGTTAATTATGACCCCCAAAAGAATGATTAATCTGGTTGTTTGGCAACAAGTTCTAACCCAGATTATGTTTAGGAGGTATACTAACTCGATCTGAATTGGGTATGAGATTCTATGGAAGAACTTTGACAACAGTAACTTTACTGCTCTTCAACCGGAGATGAATCTTCTTTCATTTTTTCAAGTGTGGTTATTTTTTAGTCCATTTTTAATGTCATGGACAAATACTTTTAAAGAGTTTTGAGAGAGACGTCTAAAGATCAGTGTTGATTCTCGTCACCCTTAATTTGTTGTGACTTCGTTTATTAACCTGATGTGTCCACGTTTTCTGGGGCAGGTTTTCAGGTATGCCACTCTCTTGGAGGCGGAACTGGATCTGGCATGGGAACACTTCTTATCTCGAAGATCAGAGAGGAATACCCAGACAGAATGATGCTCACATTCTCAGTTTTCCCTTCTCCAAAGGTCTCCGACACCGTTGTGGAACCATACAATGCCACCCTCTCAGTTCATCAGCTGGTCGAAAATGCCGATGAATGCATGGTTCTTGACAACGAAGCACTTTATGACATTTGCTTCAGGACTCTCAAGCTCAGCACTCCAAGCTGTAAGTTAAAAAAAAAAAAAAAATCAAATCTACTACACAGCTATTTACTACTATTATTACCATTCCATGTCATAAAATAGAAAAGTGTTTATAACTTCGCTTTTTTGCCTTTTTCTTTCGCCAGTTGGTGACCTGAACCACTTGATCTCGGCAACTATGAGTGGAGGAACTTTCTGCCTAAGGTTCCCTGGAAAAAAAAAAAAAAAAATCAAATCTACTACACAGCTATTTACTACTATTATTACCATTCCATGTCATAAAATAGAAAAGTGTTTATAACTTCGCTTTTTTGCCTTTTTCTTTCGCCAGTTGGTGACCTGAACCACTTGATCTCGGCAACTATGAGTGGAGTAACTTGCTGCCTAAGGTTCCCTGGTCAGCTTAACTCGGACCTTCGCAAACTAGCTGTCAATCTGATCCCCTTCCCACGTCTCCACTTCTTCATGGTGGGGTTTGCGCCTCTCACTTCTCGTGGATCCCAACAATACATCTCCCTCACTGTGCCTGAGCTTACTCAGCAAATGTGGGACTCCAAGAACATGATGTGTGCGGCAGACCCCCGCCACGGCCGGTACCTCACTGCCTCGGCCATGTTTAGAGGGAAAATGAGCACCAAGGAGGTGGATGAACAGATGATCAATGTGCAGAACAAGAACTCTTCCTACTTTGTGGAGTGGATTCCAAACAATGTGAAATCAAGCGTTTGTGATATCCCACCTAAGGGGCTAAAAATGGCGTCTACTTTCGTCGGGAACTCGACGTCGATCCAGGAGATGTTCAGGAGAGTGAGCGAGCAGTTCACGGCCATGTTCCGCCGCAAGGCTTTCTTGCACTGGTACACAGGGGAAGGTATGGACGAAATGGAGTTCACTGAGGCAGAGAGTAACATGAACGATTTGGTCGCAGAGTACCAGCAGTACCAGGATGCCACTGCTGATGAAGAGGGTGAATATGAAGAAGGTGTTGAAGAGAGCTATCAAGAATAAAATCGTAGAACCGATTTGTGCCATATTTTCCTTTCACCTTCTTTTCCGTTTGCTTATCAAACTGTCATGTAATTTACTTCTGCCCCGTGTTTTCTTGCCGTGTATTTTTTGCTTTCCATTTGTTTGTTATATTCTATTTCTGAAGACAATGTTTGTTGCTGTTTTTACTTTTGTCAATTTACTTGAATAAAATTTGTTTTCGTTTTTTTTCTTTTTCTTAAACTATATGTATTTCGTCTATATCGGCAAGCGGTGCAACTTTGCCATACAAGTCCCTTAACAAATGAACAATTAAGTACTAAATGGGCGCATCAACTTCAAGCAAATGCCAGAAAATTTTGCACCGTTCACAACATGAGCATATATGTTCCAGCAAGTCTTCTCGATTCTCTGAACAGCAGAGTTGATTGGATTTGAGGGATGACATTTTGAGAGGAACTTCGCTAGCAAGAGCATGATTTGAATATTCATAAACCAAGGTAAACAAAATTTGTATAAAGAATATACTAAAAAAAAAAACCGTAAAAAGAATACAAAATGTTTGAAAGAGATGGAATGGAATTTTGCAGCTCTGAAAGGTTGTGACGTATTTACAGAGAGACTCATAAGCGACCTAAAAAAAGTCAAAAACGATATTAACACCAAAAACAAACGAGTACACAAAAACGACATGTTGTATGGCGGCAACATAAAAGCCGACAAATAACAGACCGCAGCAGTTTAATAGTATTAAACACAACCGTTTAATAAATCTTCAAAATTGTTCAAATATATATATTTGAAAAAATACGATTCAAGATCCAAGTAGAGATTATAAAACAAGAACACTTGGAAAACAAGGACACGAGAAAAACGACGAAACGACGTCTACTAAAAAACACGAGAACTTTAAACCGTGCTGACGTACATGCGAGGGAAATTCCAAAACGACATCATAATAAATAAGACGATAGAAAAGTAAATACACGACACGATTTTGGGAAAGAGAGGATATAAAAACGATAATAAATCTACTGATAATAATAAAAGATATAGAAAATCATGCGAGGGAAATTCCAAAACGACATCATAATAAATAAGACGATAGAAAGTAAATACACGACACGATTTTGGGAAAGAGAGGATATAAAAACGATAATAAATCTACTGATAATAATAAAAGATATAGAAAACGACAACGTCGTGAAAATGGCAAAATCTACGTAGACAGGTATGCCCAAAACAAAGACTTGGAAAACGACATGTCGCCTACGACCTCTTGGTCCAGTGCACTGGGGGTTCAGGTGGAGTGGGGTTTAGATGGGCGGATTGTGGATTTAATTCCGTGGTGTATAAAAAAATAACATGTCTGCTAAAATGGCAATATGTCCTTAACCAAAAAAAAAAAAAAAAAAAAAAAAAAAAAAAAAAAAAAAAACAATTTGATGCTAACTTTGATTTTAACGAGAAATACATAAAAGGAGACTTCTGTGAAAAAAAAAAAAAAAAAAAAAAAAAAAAAAAAAAAACCAGATTTCATAAATTCCCCATTAACTTTTTAGTACTGTAATAAATTATAATGTGCACTCCCAACCTCCATTCCATTCTATCATCCGTACATCTAAAATTTAAAATTGTACCATATATTCTCTTTCTGGGGGAAATAAACGAGTACACGTAACATGACCAGGTTTTTAAGGATGGTATGGTCCAAATTGAACGTTAAAAATTTGTTAATTAGAAGCCCAAAATATAAAATTGCAGTACTCATTTGTTGGCTTCTTCTTAATCGTGACGCCTCTACAAATAAACATATTTCCCCTAGATCAAATCAAGTCAAGCTTGGGAGACTCACGTTGAAGATGGTCGGAACTTAATCGGAGTTGGATTTTTGCGCTTGATGAGCGTCAAATGAAGATAGAATAACTACGTAATAAGGATAATTGAATTATTTAGTTTAAACAGATTGTATTAATTTTATAATTATTTATTTTAATTTATTCAAGTATTTAGAGATTAAACTAGAATTAATCTTATCATTATTTAATTTAATTTATTCCTGGACTAGATTAGTATTATATTCAAATCAAACTCTCGTGTAACTCTACATATTGCATTCTTATGCATGTAGAATTTATACCATATTTTTTGAAGTCTAAATCTATTTAGAGAGTCTATATTGCAGTGCTAAAAGTTACAAGAAAAATTTGTAAACTAAAAATAAAAAATAAAAAAGCAACAACGTTGTTTTGAGAAAACCGAAATGATGGGCTACAAACAATGTCTCCTAAGAATCACGAAGCTTTAAATATGAAAACTATCGATGAAACGACAACAATCGCAAAAATAATAACTTAAGATCTCATTTATTTCACCAATTTGAGTTTAAAATTTGAGTTTTATTACAGTAAAAAGCTCTCAGAAATAGTCACATTTAACTTTTTTACTGTAATAAAAAACTCACATAAAATCACGTCTCAACTCAAATTAAAAACTCAAATCAGCAAACTAAACGAGTCCTAAGACTTAGTCCAACAAAGAACATACTTGAAACGTCGTATCTATGAAAATGAAGCATCCTTAAAACGTATTACCTGACAAAGGAAAAAAAACAATAAAAAACAAACGGCAAACGACAACATTTAAAAATGACAACGCAAAAATAACAGTAAGTCTAAGAACGACAATACTTTCAAAACAACTAAATCTACGGGAAACGACAACTAATATGAATGCAATAGTTTGGAAAAATATGACGTTTACAGAAACGACACCTAATATGAATGCAATAGTTTGGAAAAATACGACGTTTACAGAAATGACATCAAATAATAACCTTTCATCTATCGTTTCAGAGACGACATAACTTTAACATCGAAAAAATCTTGAAAATACAAAGCCCCACAAACGGCGGCCCTATTTGGAGAGATGGAGGGAGGAGGAAGGGTGGAGGGAGAAAACAATTCTCTTATTTGGTTATTTGGTTGGATTCTCTTATTTGGTTATTTGGTTGGATGGATGAGAGGAAGGAGAGGAGGGATAAAGGGGGAGAGTCTCTCCTAGACCCATTAATTTAGATCATTTTATTGATAAAATAATTCAACTAATCCATCTAATTTTAAAATTAAAAGTCTATTTTACCCTTAAAAAATTTATTACCAAATAAATAATATGAAAAATATAGTAATTAGACAAACAACTATCATCCTCTTTTCAACTCTCCCTATTCATAGTAAGAATTAGGGGCGTAAATCGACCAGGTATGGTAGGGTTGAGCCAAAAAATTGAGCCTACCCGACCAGTGCAGGTTGAAAAAATTTTAGACCGTGACACTCTCTTAAGTCTACAAACCCGCAACCTTTCGGGGGACCTCAGGTAGGATCGGGTTACTCGGGTTGGTGATCTCAAGGACCGCATGATCAGTTTTTAGTCAATTAATCTGTGCTTGTTACAGAAGAAATCATTATCAAACAGAACATGTCTTTCCTTCAAGAGGGGGTCTAAATGCAAGGTGAACAATTAAAACACTCACTTTGAAATCAAATACTTCCAATATAAATAAAGAATGTCAAAATTCAACAACTATGGCATACAAGTATTTTTTACACAAATCGTGAATCCAAAACATAAATAAGTTAACAGTTTAAATGCATAAAGTCCATAAACTTATGAAAGTAAGAATTTGAAGTGTTGGACATTGTTTTACCTACTTTGAACATGTTCAGCCGGGTAGGGTTACCTCGGGTTCATGTAACCCCACCCCGTGCCCCTACCCGCGCAGTGCGGGTTAAGCATAATTAAACCCGAAAATTAAATAAAAAATTAGAAACCCGTAATTTTTTAGTAGGATCAGCTCAGTTCGGCCGGGTTCGGGGTGATTTCTTACGGGCCCTAGTAAGAATTACTACAATTCTTTTTATTTTTCTTACTCTCCAACCCTCCAACTCAACTCCAAACGATAACTAATGAACCTCGGGTTCATGTAACCCCACCCCGTGCCCCTACCCGCGCAGTGCGGGTTAAGCATAATTAAACCCGAAAATTAAATAAAAAATTAAAAACCCGTAATTTTTGAGTAGGATCAGCTCGGTTCGGCCGGGTTCGGGGTGATTTCTTACGGCCCTAGTAAGAATTACTACAATTCTTTTTATTTTTCTTACTCTCCAACCCTCCAACTCAACTCCAAACGACAACTAATGAAAGAAGCGACAAGTCATTCCACAAACGACAATACTTTCAGAGAAACGGCATAAAACAACAGCATAGTATACAAAATTACAAAACAACGACTTTGATTATAAAAAAAGGGGAAAGTGTTCAAATAAATGGCTTTCTCAAATAAAACCAATCAGTTCAAGCCACACCTAAGATAATAAAAATCGGAAATTGAAATTTGAAATAACGAATTTTTAAGAAAAAACCCAAAAAAAAAATCAGATTCAATCCCGATACTTAAAATAACTAATGTCCGGCATCATATTGAAATTCAAAAGTTCTAGAGGCTAAGATTTTGGTGATAAACCAATATTCAACAGAAAAGGAATAAAAATAAATAAATAATAAATGAAAGAAGAGGCAAAAGATCAGCATCAGAGTCATGGAAGTATGAGGCGCAACATCGCTTGCCTTGAGAAATTGCAAGCTTCTCATACCAAAAATAATCCTCGTCATTTGCAACGACGCTTCCAATGTCCCCTTTCGCAAAATAGTTTTTTTTTTTTTTTTTTTTTGATAAACCTCCCAAACAAAAATATATCAGGAATATATTCAGACATAGAGAGAAAAAAAAAAAACATAAACAAGTATAGAAGAGAGAGAAATTATGATAGTATATTGGACTCTGAAGGATGATAGATTTGGGAGGATTTTTGAAAAAAACCTAAGCTTTGGGATCGAAGTTTCAGAAACCAGGATTACCTAGGGTTGAGCTTTGACTTGGGTTAAATATTGTGATAAGGTTCCTTTGATATCGTGATACACGGTTAAGATTTTTTTCTGATGAAGGATTACGCTCTCACAAAAGAAAGTGTAAATCACGAACCAATCACTGGTGATCAACCTCTGATGTGGCGAGCACCAAGACGAATAGTCGTCTAGTTATAATGGACTTGCCGTGTGGCGGTTAGGGGATCTTTTTGGAAAATCAAGCAATTTTGAGGCACCTTTTTTTTGGTTTTTTTTTTAAATGACTTTTTTGAAGGCACTTTTTGGCAGTTCCAGCTTTTTGCATAGAATTTTTGACACAATTGCCCCCAACTTGTTTTGATTTCACAAATTGTTTTTTTAAGGACCGTTTAATTTAGGAGTTGTTCGGAGAGCTAATTTTTGAGTGAAAAATTTTAAAAAAAGTAACTTGAGTTATAATTTTATTCGAATTCATGTTTTTTTAAGTTTGAACTCGAGTTTAGAATTAAAATTTGAGTTCAAGTTTTCCCTTCAACTTGAGTTTAGAAACTCGAACTCAAGTTAATGAACATTATTTTTTCTATTCTTAAAAATGCTATAACTTTTTCGTTTTAATTCTGATTGAGATGATTTTTTTCTATGCGCTGACAACGAAAAGAAGAATAAAACTAGACCCATATACCTTATTAAAATTTTTCATCAGCATTGAGTTTTTATTAAAATACTATCTAAAAATAAATTCAAGTTTTGACTTACTCAAACACAAACTCAAAAAAGATTCTTATCTCAAACCATAACTCAAATGTACACAACCAAACACAAACTCAAGTTACAACTTCAACTCAAGTTATAACTCAAACTCAACTCAAAATTTACACTCAAGTTACCTAACTTAAAAACATCAAAAGAACAAGCCCTTAATAATTTGAGTTTTTAATTCAAGTTGAAATATGATTTTATATGAGAGTTTTTTACTGAAGTAAAAAAATTAAATGTAACTATTTTTGAGAGGTTTTTACTGTAACAAAACTTGAATCGGTGAAATAAACGGGGCCTAAACTTTTAATTTTGACAAGTTATTTTTTGAATTTGTAAATTTGTTGCAATGTGTCCCATTTAATTAAATCTACATAAAATTTTTTATTAGATTTAAGGGATTAAAAGTTGAAATATTGATAGATTTGTATTAAATTTGAATTAGAGTGTTGAAATTTTTTACCGAACGTGTTATTTTGATACTAATTTAACACAATCGTCGTCAAAATGGAGTATATTGCTACACGTTTATAAGTTGAAAGGGTAACTTGTCAAAATTAAAAATTTAGAGAACAATTTGTTAAACTACAACAAATTTAGGGGGCAAATGTGCTAAAAACCCTTTTGTTTATATAACAAGGGAAGTTTTACATTTTGAACACCCTCCGTTTTGAGGTTATTATAAGCTTTTATCTTACATATTAGTTTGTTTTGAGGTTATTATAAGCTTTTATCTTACATATTAGTTTATTGCACTTTGAGAAATGTTAGCGACGCCTTTTCTGTCACTCTATTTGTCACTTTCTACATTCATTATTTGACACATAGAGTCTACTAATAAATATATTATTATTTAAATAAAAAATAAAATAATGAAGTTCACATGTCAAATAGTTAATGCAAAAAGTAATAAAAAGAGTGACAGAAAAAGTTTCGCTAGCATTTCTCTTGCACTTTTATACATTTATATTGTTAATGTATGCTCAATCTATATTCTTTCTTATTCAGCTATTCACTGTGACCTATAACTTCAGAGGATACCCATAACTAGAATCATCAATTCAATTTGGTAAGACCATCTCCGAGCAAACTCTCTAAATTTTAGCTAAATTCTAATAAAAATAATTAGAAAGTTATTTTAGCTAGCAACTTTTTGATGAGTCACTCTAATCATATTTTCTATTTTGACTAAATATAAATTATTTTAATATTTAGTGATTTAAAATATAAATAATTTTATTCAATTTATAAAAGAATATTTATGAAAGAATAAAATAATACAAAAAATGAAATGGCTAGCCACTTTATGATAGTTATATTTAGCGTGAAAGATATTCTCTAAAATAGTTAATGATTTAGATAATAGTTAGAGTGGAGAAAAGCTATAAAAAAAAATTAAATTATTAATCATTTTAACTAAAACAGTATGGTTATAGTTGCTTTAATAGGAAGAGAAGTAAAACAATATCAATAAAAACATATTCTCAAAATTCACAAATCAAAATAGACAGTTGATTAAGAGCGGAATAAATTAAACATAAATTTAAAATACAAAGGAATAAAAACATAACCATTCAAAATACATATCGTAATTTTTAAATGACCTCAAATGTCTATCGCTATATGAAATTTATTCACTCAAAGAGAGCGCACAAAGCCGACAAAAAGCCATTTCAAGGAAGCAGGTCTGCAAAGAGCCAACAAAGGCAGCCAATGCACAAAGAGAAGGAAACAAATGACCAAAACCAAGTAAAACTTTTATTAAAAAAAAATTCATACTAGTACGTTTTCGTTAACAATTTTAACCAGGTTTCAAAAATGAAATTTGAATTTATTCAAGGCAATTTTCCAAATCACCCTTAATGAATCCAATCTAAAAATGATATCCGGGCCATTTGATTGTCATATCAGTGTTCTATTACTTTGTTAGCATTATAAAATACAAATTGATAATAAACGAAGTGGGTGTCTCAAATAAATTTACATTATTATAAAGCCGCAAATTTAGGCGGGCCGATTTGAGGCCTAGAACTGTTGGCTTAATCCCCATCTCAGTCCGGCCCGATTCTAACCCTCAATTTATGGGGGTTTCTCCAAAAGATACTCGATAAAAACACTATGGGCTTTCTATTAAATTTCGATATTCTAAAACAGGATTTCATACAACTAAATAAAATACATTTGATTGCGCCTTTTGCGGCATTTAAAAGTAAAAATAAAATATGGAAACAAAATCAGCCATAGGATTGCAGCCAAAAAAAAGTGGCCATCTTCAACAGGGATTACGTAGCTTATTGGCGGCAACAGAAGTCTTATCCCTGCAGATCTGACGCCTTCTCCGTCTTGCCTCACTAGCCATTGCCCTACTCCGATTCTTGTCAGCCATGGCCAAATCAAACGGCTGAGAAAAGTCCATCCCAAAAGGCTCCTCTGGTGAGACGTTAAGATCAGGAAGACCAAGTGGGCTCACAATATTGTTACTATTATTATTCCTACTGAATCCACTGCTGGGAATATGGCTTGCCGAGAACTGGAGATTCTCGCTTATTCCCGTTGCTTGAACCGTCCGATCCATGATTAGCGGTGGATGATGAAACTCAGGGAAAGGCGTTGATGCGTTGGGTTGACCCAGTTCCATCTCATGATTTACGCTTTGACCAATTTTTGAAAGCCGTATTTCCTTTTTAAGCCCTCTAGTTATTAGCTGCGAAAAGGGGTAACCAAATTAGAACAGCAAAATTTTCCAGCAAAAAACAAGCAAAACAAAAAAAAATGAAAAAGAAAAAGAAAGAGCTAATATCAAATCAGAGATTCAGAGCCCACACTCAACTCTGTAACGAGTTTGTTCTGTAAATTGATACGCATTTTACTAATTTAAATTTAAATGAGCCCACACTCAACTCTGTAACGAGTTTGTTCTGTAAATTGATACGCATCTTACTAATTTAAATTTAAAATTTAAATTTTATTACAATAAAAAATTTTAAAAAATAATTACAATTAATTTTTTTATTATAATAAAAAATACTTACATAAAATTATATTACGGTTCGAATTAAAAATTCGAAGTCAGAAAACTACGGAAAATTAAGAGGGTGAGTACCTCCTCCTTCCTCGCCTTTAACTCTGAATTAAAAGCTTTTAGCTTGTCAAAATAACGGCTTACATTCTCGACTTCCTGTTTAGGTTGCACAGAGCCAAAAAGATTAATTAATTGAAGAAATAAAGTAATTTTGCTATTGATGAAGATGTAACATTAAAAACCCAAAAAAGGGTGAAGATAATGTGTAGATGTTATATACAGGACAAACCAAAAAACTGACCTTTTTCAACATATCTTTGCGCTCGGTTAACTCTTTTATGAGCTCTAACCAGTCCGCTCTCTTCAATAATAACGACCAGAACATCAAAGTGAGAATCAGAGCTCGTAATCCCAAAAAGTGGGTAAAGAAAACCTAATTGTGAAAAGTTCAAGGAAAACAAAATAGAACACTGCACACCTTTAGCAATTTCCGTTTGGAGGGCTTACGCTTCTCGTCCGATTCACTCGGTGAGAAGGAAAGCGGTGTCGCGGGGCTTGAGGCCTTGTTCTTGCCCGTACAGCGCTCGTCCACGGGATCCTCCGGCGGCGAGGACGACGGCTCTGGCGGCGGAGGAACGGTGGCCGGAGAAGCCTGGTTGTTGCTGTAGGTTGTAGATCTCCTCTTCTTGGATCCCCATTCGACACGAAAAAGAGGGAAGAACTCCGTTGCGGTAAATAGTTTACGAAGCTCGAGCAAGATTCCGGCGACTTCAAACTCGTCGTCGGCGAACTCCGTGGTTAGCTCGTGGCTGTTTTTGCACTTCTCCGCCATTCTTTTTTCTTGCTTTGTTCTTCGCGTCTCTTTGTTGCCCTAGAAACCATGTACAGAGAAGTAGGAGACGAGAAGCATTACAGAACGCAGGGAGAGGAAGATAAAAAATAAAGAGAGAGGAGGACTAGAGAGAGAAACATAATAAGAGGATTGGGTGAGAGGAAGGAATAGTTTGCTTGGAGACGGGTCTTTTTATTTATTTATTTATTTTTATAAGACAAACAACGATGGCGAGGTTGTGGCAACTGACACGTGTCAATCGGATAGAGATTGAGGTACTCTAGGGTTTAATATGGCCTTTTTCTGGCCGTACGGATTTTAAATAGGTGCGAGTGAGTTGAGAGCGTGATTGTGTAGGTGCAAGTGTGCTGTGTGCGATAGGGTCCACCGTGCACATCCCGTAGAATAGCATACCTGAGAGGCAGTTGACACAGAGACTTGAATACTACAATACATCACTCGTAGAAAATCTAAACATAAATTTTTCACATAAAAACCGTCGAGATAATTAATTAATTTCAAATATGTTATACAGCCTAATTACCACAAGCGCTTGGTCGTATTGGGCGGTGTTTTAAGGGGAGATTGCAGATTCGATCTCTCGTTGCATAAAAAACACAAGAGATGTGCATATGTGTCACATTTTAAAATAACTATTCTATATTACTCAACTTAAGTGAGTCATGTTGCTAATTGGGTCCCACTAAAATTTAAGTTCCGTTTAGTTCGTTAATTCGAGTTTTTAATTTGAGTTGAGATGTAACTTATGTGAGATTTTTTTTATTGTAGTAAAAAAGTTAAATGTGACTGTTTTTTAGAGCTTTTTACTGTAGCAAAACTCAAATTCTAAACTCGAACCGGTGAAATGAACGCTCTCACATCCCAACTCAAGCGAAGATGTTTAGAGGTGTTCATTCGAAAAAAAAGAAAGAAAGACTGAGCTAAGGACCGACTTAGGGCTTGAATCAGAATCAACGTCTGAGGCAAAAGATTGTGGTAGGGGCCAATTTAGGGTCTAGGCACTATTGAGGCTAAGGCCAAGGTCTATCATTGTGTCGAGATGGTGTTAATGTCAGATCTAAGTTTTGTTCTTAGGTCGCATGGGAACTTAGATCACCTACATGCTGGTAAACGAAAACCACCTCGAGGGGGTCCAAGGTTGGGGTCAAGGCTTAGGTCGATTTGTGTGTATAATATATGTGTACATCTACTTATATAAAATTATTTTATTGCATCAAAAAAAAAATTTGCTTCATGTTAGGAATTATTTTTCTAAAAAAAATACTGCTGGAAAAATGGCTTAATAAGTCATGTTAAAGGCCTATTTTAGAATGGGGTCCAATTGGATTTTGGGATGAGTCTCGATGGATTTGCGTTCTCCATCACGAGTACATCGAAATTAGATATTCACACACTCAAAATAGATATTGAGTGAATGAAAAATTGATGTTCTAAGTAAGCCACTTGGAATGATTAAATAGGTTAGAAATTGTAAAAATCCCACATTGGCTAGGAATGAAGCCTTGGTTATGTTTATAAGTGATTGAAGTTTGAAGCCCAAGTAAGTATTTATACCTGAGAGGCTTTCTCACATGCAGGGGTGCGAATCAAGGGCCTGGTGGATTAGGAGCCCAATGTGTGCGCCCGCGACTTGCGAACATAAATACCGGACCGAAAAGCCCACTCTATGCCAGCTTTGTTTTGCAATTTTTTTTTCCAACCTAAGACCTTCCACATTCTGCCAAACCATTTGGCATGGGGTTAATGAGCTTAATGGTGTGTAATAGGGCTAAATGGTGAAAACTGAATTTTTCATGGTTAATGACCTTAATGGCTTCGGTTTTTCATCATAAAAAACTGAATCTAGGTGAGAAAATGTGGCCGGATTCATCTTGAAAAAGTTAACAGTTTTTCTCCATTATAATGTCGATTAATGTGTGTTTAAACACCATTATGGCATGGTGTAACACTCAAATTTTGGAGCCTATATAAAGGTCATTCTCCACATGAACATGACAAAAAAAAAAAAAAAAAACAGAACTCTCATCTCTACTTTATCTCAGTTTTCTTTCAATTTTTCGTGTAGTTTTTGTAGTTCTGTTTTATGATAGAGGGAATGTCCAAGTCCTAGTTCGCTGGACAATTTTGATAGGGTTTCGTGCTACTTTATCTCAGTTTTGATAGGAGCCCAATGTGTGCACCCGCGACTTGCGGACATAAATACCGGACCGAAAGCTCACTCTGAAATAAGAGTTTGTTAAGAACTCAGGATTAAGATCATTCTATATATGACCATCGGTAGACTCAATTAGAATTTATATGCTTAGCATAAATTATTAGAAATTCATATTATGTCTGTGTCCCTGTTCCACACAATCTCATTATGCGAAATACACTCATTCAATATCTCACCATATTAACAGTGCGGATAACACTGTTCCATTCTAAATAGGAATGACATGTATTAATAATGTTTTAATTAAAGATTCTAAACTTTAATTAAATTCATTATGAACAATATTTTTGATTATTACCCTTAAACACTATCCTCTTGTATATAACACTCATATACTATGTTTAATGTTACATAAATAATCACGGAATTTTCATTTGATATTCATAAAATATTCATAAATATATGCACATAAAATAATGAATAAACTCTTTTATTAATTAAATAATAAATATCCTATTACATCTCATGCTTCTAGGACATTATTCCCAACAATCTCCCACTTGTCCTAAAGCATGTGTGTCATGTCTGTAATCCCAAATCCATCTAAGTGCCGATCAAATACATTCAATGGCAATGTCTTGGTGAATGGGTCAATAAGGTTCTCCTCTAACGCGATCTTCAGAACCGCTACATCGCCTCTATCCACAATGTCTCTGATCAGGTGATATTTCCTTTCTATATGTTTCGCACTCTTATGGCTTCTAGGTTCCTTTGAATTAGCCACCGCTCCACTGTTGTCACAGTAGAGCTTAATTGGCTTATCCATATCTGGAACAACTTGCAGGTCAGTTAAGAACTTCCTGAGCCATGTAGCTTCTTTTGCGGCTTTACAAGCTACAACATATTCAGCTTCCATGGTAGAGTCAGCAACACACTTTTGCTTTATACTTCTCCATACCACGACTCCTCCATTAAGAGTGAACACAGATCCAGATGTCGACCGTCAACTATCTCTGTCCGATTAGAAATCAGAATCTGTGTAATCGGTGAGAGACAGATCTTCTCCGAAATATATCAACATATAGTTTCTCGTTCTCCTAAGATACTTGAGAATACACTTTACTGCAACCCAATGATCTAATCCTGGGTTGGACTGGTAGCGACTGACCACTCCAACTGCATAGCAAATATCTGGTCTTGTACACAACATGGCATACATAAGGCTTCCCACAGCCGAAGCGTAGGGATACCGTCTCATATCTTCTTCCTAGTTTGGAGTCTTTGGACATTGCTCCTTAGAAAGATGAATACCATGCCTTGAAGGCAAATTCTCTTTCTTGGAGTTCTGCATCGAATACTTAGACAATACTTTATCTATATAAGATGCCTGTGACAATGCCAAAAGCTTTTTCTTGCGATCTCGAATAATCTTAATCCCAAGAACATAGCTTGCCTCTCCCAAATCTTTCATTTGGAATTGGTTGGCTAACCACTCATTCACATCTGTCATCATTCCCACATCATTCCCAATGAGTAGGATGTCATCGACGTAAAGAATTAAGAAGACCACTTTCTCTTCTTTCTTATACTGTTAGACGTATGGTTCATCAATGTTTTGATCAAATCCATAAGACTTTACAGCCTCATCAAACCTGATGTTCTATGATCTAGAAGCTTGCTTCAGTCCATAAATGGACCTCTGCAGTTTGCAGACTTTCTGCCTTTGGCCTTCCTCTATGTAACCCTCTTTCCATATAGATGGTTTCCTCAAGATAGTCATTCAAAAAAGCTGTCTTGACATCCATCTGCCATATCTCATAGTCAAAATATGCTGCAATGACTAGGAGTATCCGGATGGATTTAAGCATAGCTACTGGCGAGAAAGTTTCCTCATAGTCAACTCCCTCCTTTTGGGTATAACCCTTAGCCACTAGCCTTGCTTTATAAGTCTCTACTTTTCCATCTACTCCTCTCTTTCTCTTGTAGATCCACTTGCATCCAATGGGTTTTACCCCTTCGGGTAGATCTACAAGTTGCCAGACCGAGTTAGAGTGCATAGACTCCATCTCGAGTTTCATAGCTGCTTGTCATTCTTCCTTATCAGAATCATCCATCGCATCCTTAAAGGTCGATGGATCCTCCTTACCGTCATCAGTAGTGATGATTTGGGCTTCCCCGGTATACCGATCGGGTAACATGCTTACCATTCCACTACGACGAGGTGCCTTAGGAGTCTGATTAGGAACCGTGGTCTTTTCTCTGAGTGGTCTGACAACTCTTGTCGGTTGTGATCTGAACTCATCGAAAAGTAACTCTTCCAATACTATTTTACTTCTGGGCTTAAAATCTATCATATAGTCATGCTCCCGAAAAGTGACATTTGTCGATACAAACATCTTTTGATATGTTTGACTATAAAACAGTCCTCCTCTTGTCCCTTGTAGGTATCCCATGAAGATGCATACTTTTGACATTGGTTCCAACTTCCCGGTCTTTTGCCTCAGCACGTGTGCTGGACAACCCCATATGCGAATGCGTCTTAAACTAGATTTTTGATCATTCCACAACTCTAGGGGTGTCTTAGGTGCAGACTTAGATGGAACTAGATTTAGAATATACATAGCGGTTTTTAGGGCATAACCCCAAAATGAAGTAGGCAGTGAAGAATAACTCAACATTGATCTTATCATGTCGAGCAAAGTCCAATTTCTCCTTTCGGCTACACCATTCTGCTGTGGTGTACCAGGTGCAGTCAATTGGGATACTACACCTTCTTCAATCAAGAAATCCCGATACTCTTGGTCCAGGTACTCAGCCCCTCGATTTGATCGAAGTGTCTTGATTGGTTTACCTAATTATTTTTCAACTTCTGCTCAGAATTCTCTAAACTTTTCAAAAGTTTCAGATTTCCGTTGCATCAGGTAAACATAACCATATCTCGAATAGTCGTCAATAAAAGTGACGTAATATTCGTAAC